TTAATGTCACTCCACTACGCCCACCAGCCAATCAGGATGAGTATGGAAATTAACCCAATAAAGATGGCAGTTAGTTTGCATATGCAGGCGCGGAGCGAAGACTGAAGGCTCTGGCCCGAGCGAAGACTGAAGACTGAAGACGACTGAAGACTGAAGAGGCTTGCCTTCTCTGCTGCGGCCAGAGCAGAGAAGCCTCCAGGCTTGGCTTCTCCACTGCGGCCGGAGCGAAGGCCTGTGTCCCAGGTGCCGGAGGAAAACCGGTGCCAGCAGCCAGGGGAAGGAAGGCCTATTGCATGAATCTCTTTGTGCAATGGGCCTCTAGTTGGTTATAAAGTCACTGGCGCTTGGTTTGGGCATGTTGGGAAGTGAGGAGTGGAAAGGCCAGGAAAGGAGTAGGCTGGGAGCACAAGGAGAAGCTGCATTTTCAAGAAATTATGCCTAGGGCCTCTCTTGTGATTATTTCCTGATTTATGATCATATTCCAATAAGAAAGTGTTTGAGTCTTATATTTATGGGTGTGGCTTTTATACACCTGACTTGATCCACAATTTAATAGTTATAGGTCTGGAGACCAAATGGGAAGCTAGAAAGAAAACAGAGAGTCTTTAGCAGAAAGGATGCCCTGCCATGAAAAGAGGAGGGTAAGAAGAGAGAATGGTAAGGACAGTGGGGAGGTTGGAGGTGAGAGCTTCCTGGGTCTGGCCAAGTCCCTTGGAGGGAGAGTCAGGTGCCCAGGCACAGTGTGGCAGAAAGAGCCTTCAGGAGATGACAGGGGGATCAGGACAAAACTCTAGAGCAAAATACCTAGTAGTAGACAGTTTTAAAGGGGAAATAATAGAGAATTAGGGAATTAGGCAATAGAGAACTAGAGAATAGGAATTTCTCTAATAATAGAGAAAAGGATGGTGATAACGTGCTTTTTAAAAAATCAGCCAATGGAAGGATCTCTCCCCCATCCCCACCCCGCTATTGAAGTGTGACACCCAGACTCAAATCTGCCTGTAACAAAAACACTAAGATATAAAATTATCATTTTTAAACTTTCTGAGATTAGCCTGATTTCAGACACTCAGTCCCACTGTTGGACACTATGCTGTTTGAGGTTAGGAAGTCACTCTCTCTGCCTTCATACAAATGTGCTCGGCCATATGGTGTGTAAAGCCTTTTACATGCAAACTAGTGCCCTGGTGCATGGATTCGTGCACATTGAAAGGAAATTAACTAGAAGGTGGCTGGTGGGACGGGTCTGGGCCAGATGGGCCGGACACACCCTGGAGCCAACCTCCCACAGTCCCTCCCGGGCCGGCTGCCCCAGGAGCAGTGCCGCGGCTTGAAGGGCATCTGTGGAGTGAGCAGGGTCCCTCTGGCAGGTGGGGTCTTTTGGCCTAGCCTGAGGGGTTTGGGTCGAAACTGGCTCTCCAATATCCCCTGAGGGGTCCTGGATTGCGAGAGGGCAGTTCTTGGATGACGCACCCCGCAATTGGGCTCCCTCCTCTCTGGTTTGGGGTCCCGAGAACTGCCGCTGCCAAGTCACTGCAGCTTGGCAGCTCCTGCATTGAGCATCTTCCCCCTAGTGGTCAGTGCATGTCGTAGCTACCAGTCCGATGGTCAGATGGTCACTTAGTCTTTTATATATATAGAATACACAGGTAGGAACTCTTCTTCCTGACCCTTCTTGTGACCTTGCTTGTGGTCCTGAGTTACCTTTCTTGTTGAATAACTGCATCACTCATTTTATCAATTGAGCCAGAAACCTGAGAAAATTCTGTTATCTATTTCTAGACTTAACAGTTAAAAAGAATAAATATTTACTATTTCACAGTTATGAGGAACCCAGGGGCAGCCTAGCTGGGTGGTTGTGGCCCAGTATCTCTTACAAGGTTGCATTCTGCTGGGGAGCAAGCATCTCAAGGCTTGACTAGAGCTGGACAGTCCTCTTCCAAACTCACAGGCCTGGCTGTTGTCACCTGCACATCCTTGCTAACTGTGGGCCGAAGGTCTCCATTTCTCCCACGTGGGCCCTCCATAGGCTCCCAGTGTGTCCTCCTGCCAGGGCACCTGGATTCCGCCACCAGGGTCAGTGATGAAGAGAAAGAAAGACAGAGGGAAAAGAACCCCTAAAATGGAAGGCACAGATTTTCAAATAATCTAATCTCAGAAGTGATACAGACTAACCCTCATACAGCGTGCGAAGGGACTACACAAGGGTGTGAATATAAGGAGGTAGGGGCCATTGGGGACCAACTTGGAAGCTGGCTCCCTCAGAGAGGCCTTTCTCTTCTTTCCCCTCTCCTTCAGCAAATCGCTAAGTCCTGATTCTTCCTCTGCAGTGTTTCTCAGATATGACCTCATCTACAGCTGATTGCTTATTCTGGGAAGAGGTATGGAAGCTGATGGGGAAGTCTTGGGGATCGCATCCCTAAGGTCACAGGTGAAATTCATATTAATATGCTAGCATGGCCTCCAACCCAACCTTATAGGGAAAGGAGAATAAACCTCTTGGCAAGCTAATATTCTGGGGAGGATTTGTTCCCTGTACAGAGAAGGGGAGACCTGTAACATCAGAGTCGTCCTAGGGAAATAAGGTGCTGAGCACAACAGCAAGAGAGTGTAGATACTTTTAGACTTAGCCTGAGCACCCTAGGACTTAAGACCATAATAAGGAAACTTCCCCTTTGCATGAGGCAGAGAAAGCCTTAGGAGAGCGGTAAGCAAGGGCCTACCATTTCCCTGTGAGCATCATTAATTAGTTTAACTCCTCAAGTCTGCTGAGATTGGGAGTGGCTTCTGATAGCTCTCGAACTGAGAAAAACTGTGGGATCCATTCTGCTTCAGTGAGAAAGCAAGCCTTGATCTATGGCTTGATCAATGGCAAATCAAGGTTTGCCATTGCCGAGGAAGCAAGAGTTATGCCTACCATTTGGCTACTGGGAATACACCTTGTTTCCACTGATAACACTCACTTTTCCTTTTTGGGACCTTCTCTAAGATGGGCTTTTGGGGAAAAACAAAACACTTAATAGGTAGAATTATTAGAAATAGGCATGCTTGACCCAACCTAGCTGAGTTATTTGAGCTGCTATAGCATATCTCTCACCACATACCCACCACCAGCAGCCCTGCCTGGAATGAGATAGCCCCGGCAGGCTTCCTCCTTAAACAGCCTGAGGTGGGACAGCTTGTTGAAACTGATGGGAGATTCTGGGTCTTCCATGAAATTTTGTTCTTGGATCGATAAACTTGGAATACTGAATCATAGATTTATGGACCAGAACCGACAATAGAAGTCACTAACCTGTGTCCCATCCCATTTTACATGTGACTCAGAGAGATAAGAGACTTACCCATAGGCACTTAATAAGGTAGAAACCCAGGAAGGACTAAAGCAGGGGTGGGCAAGCTTTTTGACTCGAGGTCCACAATGGGTTCTTAAACTGGACCGGAGGGCCAGAACAAAATCATGGATGGCGAGCTGGATAGAACAGCCGAACGGGCCGGATCCGGCCCACGGGCCGTAGTTTGCCCACGGCTGGATTAAAGTCTTCTGAATTCTCATCTTTCCTTGCTCCTTGTCAAGCCTGTGAGTTATCACGGACACTTACAGGAAGGGAGACCGTACCTGCCTATCTGCCCTACCGTCCATGTTCTGCCCTTATTGTGATCTTTTCTGAATGACCAGGCACCTCACGACCTAGGCTCCCTCATCTTCTATTTCCTCGTAGGTCTGACCAATTCGGGAGGGTTGGGGGTGGCCCTGGTAGAAAAATTTGAGAGCAGGAGTCGGTGAGAAACATTTCTTCTCCCCTCCCTGTTTCTTTTGGCATCTCCAACAGTGACCAAGCCTCCTCTGGTCCCAGCACCCATTGGACGGTCCCCACTGTGACTCTGACTTCTGCCAGATGACCCGGCAACATCTAGAAACATCAGCTTCACCAACCCAAGGGGTCACAGCTACTTACTGCTCTGCTTACCCTCTGGGTTGCCTCACTGTCCCCGTTTGGCTCCTCCGCTCTTCTAGCATTAGTATAACCAATTCCCTGTATTAAATGATCTCTGTTTGTCAAGACCTCGGTTCTTTTCTCGTTTCTTGGCTGCTCCCTGACTGATAGAGTGGAACCATCATTCTGTGTGCTCTTGGCACATTTTAGGGACATAATACATGTTCATCATAGTGAAGCAAAAAAGTGGATACATTTTTCTGAGACACTTTCCCAATTGTAAGTTTTGTGCTTTCTAAACAGTGGTGTCAAAATAATCCTTTCCCTTGATCTCATCAGTCTTTTCCATCTCTGTCAGCAGTGACTCAGTCCTGGAAGAGATTGTTCTTGGTGCCCATGGGTGTGTATATTTTAGTTGCAACAGGATGAGCCCTAATGTCATGCCATTGGTTTCCCAAATTTGCTTTGGTAATGGCCACACTTGGCCTTCCTGGTAGTGGGGACCTGTAGTCCTGTTTACCCCTGTTCTTGGCCTCCACACAAGGATTCCCACAAGGGCTGCATCTGAGATGGTGGTTTCCAGGATTGGGATATCTGCCCACCAGCACTGGACTTGAGACCACCAACTTGTTTTTCCAAACATTAATATCTCAGTGATCTCCAAACATATTTTCTGTTCCAGAATATTTTCCAAGTTTTGTAAGAATGTCTCTAAAGCTTTTTTCTTTTAAAGGCATAAGGTTAGCTAGCCTAAGGGGAAGGGCAAGGGTAATACATATTTTAACTTGGAAGACTAGTGTTTAAAACTTTAACCAAAAAATGTTTCTCCCTTAAAAAACTACTTTTTTTTTTTTGCATATTTAAGTAATTTATTTGGGAGAAATTACCACTTAGCCATCCCTTGGCAATTTCAGTTCAACATGCTTTGAAACTAGTCACCTACAAAGCCTCAAATGTGTTTTCTTTGAAAGCTCAACTTAACCTTCTCTACCATGGAGATGAGAAAAGTGACAACTTATTTTAAAGATTCTCCCCCTTTGTCTCTTTGTCTTTCTTTTGCAGGCCGTGTGTTTACACTATGGGATCTCCCATAAACAACAGGGCCCTTTTCCCATGCCAGGAGCCCCCCGTTGCCATGTCAACATGGCAGGCCACAGTCCGAGCAGCTGCATCTTTTGTTGTTTTAATGAGTGGGGAAAATTCTGCCAAGCCAACACAGCTTCGGGAAGGTACTGTACATGTGTTCTGTGCTTCTTTGTGTATTGCACACACGCTGGACCCAGGAACCCAGTACGCGCTGTTTTTCGCAACTTTAAAGAGCGCCTTTATAAGTTGGGTTGGAATGAACATGCTAGAAAACATCCTGCCAGAGAAAACAGCAGGGAGGGGAGGCTCTGGGGAGCCTGGGCAGGCGTGAGGGGCTCTTCATGCCAGACTTATCAGTTCCTAGAGTATTTCAGCGGTTGCTCTGCCCTGGTGGTTTGTGGGCCATAAGTGGGTGGTCTTGGTTGAAGACTTTCTGGGCAGGCAAGTATGTCATGGAAACACCGTTACTTACAGTTGAGTTGTCTGTGGTTGGGTCCTGGAGCCTGCACCGGGGGTTCATTGCACAGGGAGTTCATTACGCTGAGTGATAGTGCTGCTGTTGGCGGGCCCACCAGAGCTGTTCGAGTCCAGCTCTGTCCCTCAGAGTTCTGAACCCAAAGTGTAAAAGATGGAAGGCAAGTGCTAATGCAGATCAAGGTTCTGTCTGGGGATTATTTGCTTATTGCAGTAATTAACTCCGCTGAGAGCCTAAGCATTTTGATTCCAGGTGAAATTTTTATAATTGAAACATTTCTTCATTTGAAATAAGGTGTCTCTCACATACCTTTAGAAACTTTAAATTTTACAGGAAATTAAAAGTAATAAAATGAAAGAATTTTAGAGAAAATGATTGCTAACATTTTGTTGCATTTCCCTCCAGTATTTAAAATCTACACAGATGGTACATATTGTCATTTCAAAATTGCCGTCATAGCACATAACAGCTTTTTTTCACTTATGGTGTATTTTGAACATTCCCAAGGTCATTAAGTATTTTTTTAAACTATAATTTTAATGTCTGCATAATATTTTATGGTACGAATATATCATATTTTAACATTTTTGTATTTTTAGACATTTTTATTGTTTCCAGGTTTTTTCCTGTTATAAATAAAGTTGCATTAAATTCCTGAGGAGACATTTAGTATAAAATTAGAATTATTGAGTCAAAAGTTTTCAGCATGGATAAGGCTGTTGGTACATATTTCAAGTTGTTTCCCAGAAAGGCTGTGCCCATTTGCAGTTGTACCAATAGTACATTTTCATACCCATCAGTAGTTATAGGGTCCCCATTTTCCATGAATTTCACCCATTTGCTAGGCAAGAAAAGGTCTGTCTTTAACATAGATTAGTTCGATTATCAATGAGGTTTTACATGTCCTTATAATTTCCTTAACTATCTTCATTTCCTGACTTTTTATTTCCTTTGCCCATTTTTACAATGAGGCTTCAGTGAGGTTTTCAAAATTTTGTTTAGCCTTTTAATTTGATTGGCTCTTTAAAATATAAAAATATTTATCTTATCATATTTATGAAAAGTACTTTTCCCAGTTTTACTATGCCTTTTAATTTCATACTATGTTTCTGATCTATTGGCGATTTTAATTTTTATTTAGTGAAATCTGTCTAATTATTCTTTGAAGGTCTTTCTTTATTTGATCTGAGATTCATCTGTTTTGTTTTAATATTTTTATTTAATTTAAAATTTTCATTAAGTCTTTATCTGTTTGTAGTTTATTCTAGTCAAGATTGTGAAATGAGGACTACAGTTTTTTTTCAAATAGGAAATAAGTTGCTGTAAGATAATTTATTGAATCTTTTCTAACTTGTGATGTCTCCTTTATCATAAACTAGATTTAACACATACTAGAGTCTTCAATGAGAATTTACTTGATTTTCAAAGTAAAAATAAGACAGATAATACATTAAAAAAAGATAGGTAACATTTATATGGTTCATTTATATGGTTTATTTGTTTTACAAATGAACAAAGGACAAAAAATTGCAATAAAATTTCCTTTTTACTCCTAATTCCCAGCTACCCAGAAGCCCTTCCCCCAAGGTAACCAAAGTCACCAGTTTCCTTTGTTTAAGATGTTTTTTCCGCTTGTTGCACAGATCAGAGCATGCTGCACATATGTTTGAATTGTACCTCAACCCTTTAGAATAAATTGGTTTTACAGATAATTTCTATCTGAGTATTAAGAGCTTTCTCATTATTTTTTATGACTATAGATATTTCATAAATGGATCTTTTACAGGTAAGTGAACCAATAGCTCTTGACTTCACTCTTTCAAATAAGGAACTAAATGGGCATTTACTTCTATCATCTTCCCTCATCCACATTCCCCAGTTTTAGTGAATACAGTTGGGCTTTAGGACTCATATTATCTATCTATATTTTGTTAAATATGTTTTTCTTGATTTCAGAGAGAGAAAGGGAGCGTGAGAGAGAGATAGAAACATCAGTGGTGAGAGAATCATTGATCGGCTGCCTCCTACTGGGGATCTTATCCTCAACCCGGGCATGTGCCCTGACCAGGAATTGAACCATGACCTCCTGGTTCATAGGTTGATGCTCAACCACTGAGCCACACTGGACAGACTTATCTCTGTATTTTGTTTTTGTATTATATCTTCTAGGAATTACAATTATTGTTTTTTTATATCTTCATCTAGTTTCAAATCATATTTGAGTAAGTATTTATACTGTCTTTATCCTTAAGCTTTTAAATTTGAATCATTTCTCAGGCACTTGGGAAATTCTTTCAATATTTGTTTTCTAGAAGAGTGGATGTGTGGTACATTTTATGAGCCATCCCATATTTAGATTGGCTTTTAGTTCTATCACTTACGAACAATCCTTGGCTAGGTATAAAACTCTTAGGACTTCTTTTCTCTCTTAAACAACTATAAACATTTTTATTATCATGCCTTACTTAGCATTTCTGAGGAGAAATCTGATATCAATTTTTTTAAAAAATATATTTTATTCATTTTTTACAGAGAGGAAGGGAGAGGGATAGAGAGTTAGAAACATTGATGAGAGAGAAACATCGATCAACTGCCTCCTGCACACCCCCCACTGGGGATGTGCCCACAACCAAGGTACATGCCCCTGACTGGAATCGAACCCGGGACCCTTGAGTCCGCAGGCCGACGCTCTATCCACTGAGCCAAACCAGTCAGGGCTGATAACAATTTTTTAAAAATTCCTTGAAAGTCTGATTTTCCTGCCTAGAGGCTCATAGAATTATTTTTATTTATGTAATTTACAGCTTTCTAGAAAGAAGCTAGCTGTGGGTATCTTTGGTTTTAATCAACTTTATTAAAGTACTAGAGGCCCAGTGCACAAAATTTATGTATAGGTAGGGTCCCTAGGACTGGCTGGTGATTAGGGCCGATTTGTGGGGCAACCAGTGGGGCGATCAGGGGGAGAAGGAGGCCCGCTTGCACCCGCCTTGGCTGGCCTGGCACCACCTGTTAGCCAGCCCTTCCCCCTAACGCTGCTGCCGGTCGGGGGCTGCCAGTCAGGGCCTGTGGTCTGGGGGAAGCTCCTGCATTGAGCGTCTGCTCCCTGGTGGTCAGTGCACATCATAGCAACCGGTCATTCCGCTGTTCGGTTGATTTGCATATTAGGGTTTTATAGAGATAGATAATTTGCATGTAATAAAATGTACACAATTTGTCTTGTTTAATGAAGTTTGAAAAACACCAATTTATTTAATCAGCACTCCTATGAAGATGTAGAACATTTCCTTTACCCGAGGACTCCCCTTATGCCCTTGCCATCTCTCCTTAATTCATTCCTCCAAACCCCACTCCTGTCAACCACTGACCCTACTTCCGTGATTGTAGATTAATTTTGCCTCTGCCAAAGATTCACGTAAATAGAGTCATTCCATGTGTACTCTTTTGTGTCTGGCTCCGTTTGCTCAGCATAATGTTTGGAAAAGTCACCCATATTTTTGTGAGTGTTAATAGTTTATTATTTTAAAATTGGTGAATAGTAGTCCATTATATGAATAAAGCACAGTTTGTTTATCCTCTCACCTGTTTATGGGCAATTGAATTGTTTTTAGCCATCGTGATAAATAATTCTGTGAACACTGTGTACAAGTCTTTCTGAGGATATAGGTTTTCATTTCTCTTGGGTAAATACCTAAGAGTGGAATTGCTGGATCATATAAATGCATGTTTAACTTTGTAAGTATCTGCCAAATCATTTCCAAAGTGATTGTATCATTTTGTATTCTACCAGCAATATATCAGAACCTCTCCCTCCCCCTTCCGCACCATTGCTGGGCATCCTTGCAAACACTGGTATTGTCAGCCTTCCGACTGGGTGTCCAGTGCTAGCTTGTTGTGGTTTTAATTTGCCTTTCTCTGAGGACTAATGATCGTGAGCAACTTTTCATACTTATTGTGCATTCTTATATCTTCCTTTGAAAAGCATCTCTTCAAGTTGTTTGCCCATTTATTTAATGTGAGATTTTTGGTTATTTTATTAGTAGATTGAAAGAATGCTTTGTATATTCTAGGTATAAGCCTTTTATCAGATATATGTATTTTAAATATATTCTCCCAGTCTGTGTAGCTTGCCCTTTCATTTGTTGTTTACACTCTACACCACTGATTTTCCATAGAAACATTTTGTTCTTTAGTAATTCCATTGTAGATTTAAATTGTTATTTAAGTTTCCTTACAATCCTTATCTTTTTGATCTGTTATCTTTTGAACTCAGTCTCTTATACTGTTTCAGCCTGTTGTCTTCCCATACTTTTAAAATATATTTTCGTAGAAGTTATATCTTCCTGTATCATAATGGGAATGGCAGTTTCCTAAACTGCTTTTGGTTTCTACAGTAAATTCATTTCTGAGGCTTGTTCTTCTTCTGAGTCCTTAGAATGATGTTTTCTTTTACCTTTATTTTGCAGTATTTCTTTTTTTTTATA